GGTTAGGTTTGGGCCTATCCATAAAGCAAATTAGACCCAGTTGGAGGAGCCTGGGCAGGGGTGTAGTCAGGCAGTTTTTGGAGATTGTGGAGAAGGAGGTAGATGAATGCAGTAGCAGTCAGAGAGAAGGAAGAAAGTGGTGTGCAAGAAGTCCTCATATTTCTGGACTAGGCAGAGGTTCTTACTCTTCCCCAACTGATTTGCCTCTCTTAACTTTGAGCATTTGCAATCCAATTCAAATATGGAAAAGGGAAATCTTTTGCTTTTCTTCTTCTATGAGCTATATACAATTCTCTGCGTATTTTACAAAGCTCCTTAATGTATAGATATAGCAAAGCATCACTGAGAGATGCAACGTAAGTCTCAGAAGAATCTGCAATCCCAAGCTAGAAGGGTGTTATAGTCCTTCATCAGGAGGGGGGATAGCTCAGTGGTTTGAGCATTGGCCTGCTAAACCCATGGGTTGTGAGCATTTAGGGATTTCGGGCAAAAATTTGTCAGGGAGGGTACTTGGTCCTGCTATGAGGGTGGGGGACTGGACTCAATGACTTCTCAAGGTCCCTTCCAGTTCTATGAGACAGGTATATCTCTGTTTAATTATTTACAGGGCTTATGCTGAATGGAGGACATTTCACAACTGTCTGAAAATTGTAAGCTCTTCGGAGACATTTGTACAGTACATGGCATGGGAGTAGCAGCAGTCTTCACTGAGAAGTTCCCTTCCACATATAATACATTATTATCCCATGAGATTTCTTGCAGTAGTTCACATTTTGTAGTCTCTGTGCAAGGTAATCAGCAGGATGTGTAATGTAGTCAAGCAGTCCCTTCCCTGACTACAGGTTGGACCTCCCTTGTCCAGCACCCTCGGGACCTGGCCTGTTCTGAATGAGGGAATTTGCCAGATCAGGGGAGGTCCCCTGCCACCAGCCTCCCAGGATGGTTCTCCTCCCTTCAACTGGCTCCGCTCTGGTCCCGTTGTCACTGGGCTCCAGCCTGCAGGGCTTGGACTTGGGGTCTGGCCCACTGGGGCTCACAAGGATGGAGCCCCCAAATTGCCATGGCTCTGCTTCTCCCCTGCCCAACCGGGAATCCCCAGGGATGGGGCTGCCCTGCTTCTGCTGCTCTCTGCCAGGGATCCCTGGCTTCTGGCTGCCCTGCTGCTGCCCCGCCTGGCCAGGGCTCCCCAGGAATGGGGCTCACTGGTCCCGCTGCTGCCCCACCTGGATGGGGCTCCCTGGGGGATAGGGCTCACTAGTCCTGCTTGCTAGATATCCCTGGGGACGGGACTCCAAACCACAAATGTTGCAAGATCAGAGAGTCCCAGATTTCGGAGGTTCAGCCTGTACTAAATCCAGGCCAGGATTTATGAAGAAACAGTTTAGTGACAACAGGTAGCACAATCTGTGTTTAATTAGTTTTGGCATTAAAGAGCCATGGAGAACTACTGAGTGCTGTCAGGGTCCATGTTAAGAGCTCCACTTCTAAACCCTACAACAAATGAAGAACGATGTCACGAGATGTCAGTAATTGTCTTCCGAAAACAATGCTGTTCACCAATGTTACCACTGCATGTCTGAATAGAAAGATGAATTATAATGAGTCAAGTAAATGTATTGCCCTCATTGGTTGCAATATAATAATCCACATATAAGATTATTATAATAATAAAGTGAGTATATTATTAAATTAATAATAATGTCCAGATGCCATCTTCCATCAATTTCAGTGGTATATGATGTTTAGTGTGTTGTGCTTACACTCATTTAGGAATTTATTTTTTCCAAGTTCAGGAAGCTAACAACATGAGCTCTTTTGCTTTGCATGTTGTAACCTTTTATGTAGTCAGTTGGTAAAATGAGGTGAAGACCCAAAGATACATAAATGGGAAACATGAGATCTGTGATTACGTATGCACTGACCCAGTCACGTCTAACATTACACCATGCAACATGGCTCACAAAAAACAGCCTACTGGGAAAAGAGGCATGTAAGAACAGCCATACTGGGTCAGACCAAAGATCTGTTTATCCCAGTATCTGCTACAGTATCCAAGAGTGGCCAACACTAGGTGCCCGAGAGGGAATGAACTGAACAGGTAATCAGCAAGTGATTCATTCCTTGTCCCCCATTCCTGGCTTCTGGCAAATGGAGGCTAGGGACACCCTCCCTGCCCATTCTGGCTAATAGCCATTGATCCTCCATGAACTTTTCCAGTTCTTCTTTGTACCCTGCTATAAACTTGACCCTCACAACATCATCTGGCAAGAAGTTCCACAGGTTGACAGTGAATCAGGTGAAAAAATACTTCCTTTTATTTGTTGTAAACCAGCTGCTTATTAATTGCATTTGGGGTATGTCTACACAACAGGACAAAGTCGAATTAAGATATGCAACTTCAACTATGATAATTGAGTAGCTGAAGTAGCTTAACTTGGTTTTTGTCACTGTCTACACTGCAGGAAGTCAAAGGAAGAACACTCTTCCTTCGACTTCCCTTACTCCCCATGAAACCAGGGTTACCAGCAGTGCTTTTTTTGTGATGGTACTGCCCGTACACTTCCAGTCAGAGCTTAACTGGAAAGAACGGAGCGTAACGGCACTTCTGTAATGAAAATGGCCGACAGACGCATTTCTCAAAGGGGCCATGTCTCTTAAAAGGGCACTTCCGGCCCCACTGCCGGGTTTATTTGTTTCTGGCTTTTTTTTTTTTTGCTCAACAATTTTTCCCCTGGAGTACCAGCACTTTTTTTTTTTTTTTTTTTTTGAAGCACTGGTTACCAGCATCTCACTTTGACTTAACTAAACTGTTAATTCAAAACCTGGAAGAACAACAGCAGCAGCTTCAATCTTGCTTGGTAGTATACACGTACCTTTGGTGACCTGTGGTTCTTGTGTTATGAGAAGGAATAAATAACATTTTCTTATTTACTTTTTCCATATCAGTCATATTTTTGATCATATCATATTCTCCTTTAGTCATCTCTTTTACAAGCTGAAAAGACTTAGTCTTATTAAGCCATTCTATACTCCTAATAATTGTTGTTTCACTTTTCTCTACTTTTTCCAATTCCAATAGATTTTTTTTTAAGATGGAGCAACCATATCTGCATACAGCATTCAAAATATTGGTGTATCATGACTTCTGTAGAGGCAATATGATATTTTCTGTCTTATTCTCTATCCTTTTCTTAGTGGTTCCTAACATTCTGCTCAGTTTTTTACTGCCACTGCACTTTGAGTGGATGTTTTCAGAGAACTATCTACAGTGTCTCCAAAATCTCTTTCTTGAGTGCTAACAGCTAATTTAGATTCCATTCTTTAGATTCCATTGTTTATATGTATAGTTAAGATTGTTTTCCATAGTGCATTACCATGACACTTTACTTTGCTTAAAAACCTTTGGTGAGGGACCTTGTCAAAGGCTTTCTGAAAGTCTAAGTACGCTGTTTCCACTGGATCCTTTTTGTGCACATGCTTATTGGTGCCCTCAAAGAATTCTACTAGATTGGCGAGGATGATTTCCCATTACAAAAACCACGTTGACTCTTCCCCAACAAATTATGTTCATCTGTGTGCTTGACAACACAGTGCTGGTTTGCTTGAGCCAGGTTAAATCTCTCTGGGCTAGTGAAATCTAGAATGGGCATATTAAACTCAGTGATGCTACAGTGATTTACACCTTCTGAAGTCTTTAGTTTCTGTCCTTTAATTACATTCCAGTTTTGCCCTGCAGCTCAAAAGAAATGGACATAGGTTCTTCTTTGGGCTAAGGCTGCTTTTCACTGCACCAATGGGGCCCTAAAGCCAATATACCAGCCACTGAAGGATCTAGTCTGCTTAATGAGATCTTCCATTGGCATAAAGCTCTCCTATGTCCCTGCTCTACCCCTGCTGCAGCCAGTAGAAGGGTCATGCTCTGAGTAGCCTGGCACTTCCTGATCCTTGCTGCCATAAGAGTCCCCTGGAATTATTGGAGGTAGGTATAATGTAGAGCAGATGGTTGTAATTTACACCAGGAGTGTGGCCTATCCTGTGGCTGTCCCAGGGTGAGCATAAAGTGAGCATCAAAGTGTCTGAGGACCAACATTGCAAGTGTACACACACACACACACACACACACACACACACACACACACACACACACACACACACACACCTATCCTTTCCTAAGTCATTTTATGTGCTTCTCTGACACAGCCGTGAGTCAGCGCTGTGATCTCAAGTCACTCCAACATTGGAGTGCACAAAACTGACATAGTAAAATACTTTCAATTCATGATGCAGATGAGATTTTTCTTATCAAAGTTACATCTGGGCTTTGTTTTTTGTTTTTCAAACTTTCAGCATGCTGGACAGAGCCATCGCTTTTGGGGACTATCCTGAACAAGCCAGGAATTGAGACTATCACCCTGCAGTGCAGACTGCAACAAGCAGTGACTTTATAATGGGGGAAGGATATCAGTTCAGCATAATTTAAGTCAGGAAGCCAGTTTAAACAACTTGCTTTTTAAAAATTATTCAAGGAAAACATGTTTATGCAGGTGCACCAGCAGCTGCAGAATTGGGCCCTTTAAGTCTTTATCTTTGAAAACATGGCATCCCTATTAGCCTGCAACAAGATAAAGATTCATGTATAATAACGATGTTCATGTGTAATAACTATATCTCACTCCATTACAGGTAGTTCAAGGCCATTCTGCGTAAACAGTATGCATGGTTTTGTTCTTAATCTTTAAAAACCCCAAATACCTTGGTTGCAGATATATGTTAAGGTTTAATGCATCTCTTGCCATAAAAGTGTTGCTCAAGACTAATGAACAAATGAATGTTTGTTTAATCTCCTTTGTGAAAATCAAACAAGCTTTCAACAGCTATTCGTATATTTATTGTCAGATGTGAATCATCACTTAGGTGTACTGCCCTGTGCCATTAGCGTTTAGTGCTCATAGTTTCACAGCATTAATTCACCTGTTTGTTTTTTTTTTTTTTTATCCCAGTACCAGCTACAGAAAGGATCGGTGTGGAGAATCCTGTTGTGCCACTGGCAGAATTGGCTCTTCTTCTGCTTGGTCCTGGCAGTAATGGCTATCATTCCCTTTGCAGTCTATAGAATGATGGTAGCTTTTAAGGACCCTCCACCCAGTCTAGTATTCCACGCAGCAGCTGTCTGTTTCGGAGTTCTTGCAGAAACTCTTCTGATCAAGTGAGTAACAAGTCACACACACCCCTTCTCTCCTCTTTCTTGCAAAGAAGCAGAGGAAGCAGGTCTTACTCAGTGGCACCTGAAAAGTTCCCAAAAGATTTACCCATTATGTTAAGGTTTTAGAAGCTAGGAAATATTACTCTAGTATTGTTGGGTGTCTTTGTGTGGATATAGATTGTTTAATTTTAAGTCTGCTTTTAAGCAAACTCAATGCTCTGAGGGTTGTTTTTTCTATCTCAGTGGGGCCCACCCAGAGTAGAGAGTGAATATGTGTTTCAAGGTTGTGTAGCTGAGGAGGTTTTTTGTTAGCTTCATTATGAGGAAGGAATCTTAGTACTTAAAATATCAAAGTCATTGTTTGAGTCACAGTACAACTAATTCAGTCGCACAATGTAGTGCAGGTTCTTGGTATGTGATATGCAGGTAGTACAGAGAAATGATTGTAAAAGTTGAATAAATACAAAATTAGTTTCAAAATCTGAAACTTTCTGAAGGATGCTTTGATAATGATCCACTACAACAGCTCTTCAGCGGGGTAGAACCTGGACCTTTAGTTCCACCTTCACTGCCTAAGCTAAGGGTGCAACATTGTTAACTGTTAACAGTAGTAGATTTTTATCCCTTATGTGGTACATCCACAAAATGGGGGAATGAAACATTTAGCTGTCCATGGAAGCTCACCCTAAGTAACTGAGGCCTCAAAGATTTAAATCTGGATATTGACCCATCTATAGCCTAAACCAGAACTTCACATCTGACTGTCTTTACCTACATCTATCTTCCCAATGAACACACAAACACACAGTTTGGATCCATATTTTCATCCATATTTAATTTTGAGTTTTGTAACATAGGCCTATCTCTGTGATAGACTAAACCAGAACATCGAATCCAACATTAACCAACCCAAAATTCACATTCAATGCCAGACCCAAAATGTGTAAGTAAGGTACACCTATCATTTAAAATCCATGCTATGACTAAAAACATGTACAATCACGAACTCCTGTTTGCATGTCATATTTTCTCAAATTAAAACAAATACACTGACACAATTATCTTGACGCCACAATGGTCATCATTAAAATGTTGACATTTAGTGTTTGAAATTAATTAGCATTACTGTGGAACTACCAGTATATTAAATGTTCGAACAATAATTACCTTCAAATAGTAATTCTGATTTTAATGGCACCCACCATATCGTAGGTGATTGGAATTTAGGGGTGAAGGAGAGGGAATAAGAGAGGAATTACTCTTTAATGAAGCATCTGAACAACCATATATGTGAGAGGAAAAGCAGTACAAAAATAGAAAAGGCTAACTATGCACAAGTGCTCATGAAAGTTTCTGATGAGATAAAAGCTTTAGAAACAAATTTGAGTTTAAAAGTGCATTTGAAAAGGTATGTACTCACATTGTGCAGCACGACAACAGTAGAATGCTAATAACATTTAATTTCCCTTGACTTCTAACCTTCTTAACCTGCTGTAATGCTAGAATGGTGCTGTAAATCAAAATGTGCTGTATTGTATGGTGAACATGTGTATTGAATCATTCCAGACTGCCTGGTGCTTTTTAAAAACAAAACTCACAATAGTGTTTGTGCTGTTTTTCATTTTTCATAGACCTTTCCTCTTAATCATGCTGCAACTGGTTAGCTGATGTGTTCAAAATACAATATAAAAAAGAGGAGGGGGAATTAGGAGATAGAAAAAATATAGCAGAAACTATAGCACAGATGATTAGGCCAAAATATCCTTGACATTATTTTCCCCCTTGTTGTAAGTGTTATTCCATTTTCAAGAAAAACAAATTGGAATATTGCCTGGGGTCTTCTGAATCATTAGTAAATTAAGAATCTGTTTTTAATAACATTTAACTTGTAAATAATGCATTAATTGACTAGCTTGAAAGTTAGCTTGAATGTTAGAAACTCTGGCACTAAATGCGTAATGAAAGAAGTGTTCTGTTCGAGGAGGCTGTATGGCAAATGTAACAAATTAAATATGACAGTTGATATTTGTGAAAATGGTGATATAATTAGAGGACACCTGCAGCTGTTTTCCAACCAAAACAACAGAAATTAAACATGTATAAAGTATGTGTGCCACATTTTCTCTTAGCATACTTCTTTTGTTCTCCTTAGAGTTTTTTGTTACAGGTTTTGTTTTGGTTTTATTTTAATTTTTCCCCTGCCTTTTGTCAGGTTGTATGTCTATACAAGCAATAATTGTCTCTGTCTGATACTATAGTTTGTTGGTTCCATCAAACTAAAGGAAAAGAACAAGAATCTTATTTACTAAGAGTTTGAAATTATTAAAAAACGTGATGCATACCCGAACATGTTTATAAGTCTATAGGTTGAGATATGGTCATGCATTGCTACCTGTAGATTTCTTGCCTATGAGATTATCACCTATTTATTCATTTCCCTTTTATTATCAAGGATGATTTCTTTTAAAGTATAGAGTGATGTGACAAGTTAATATTGACCAGCCATATGTAGGTATTTTAAATGTAAATGTGTAGTTTGCAATGTATATGTGTGGGAGAGAATTTGATGTTGTTTTTTACATTTCATGAGGATCTGAACCCACATTTCCAAAGATGAAAGCAAAGCATTAACGCCCTGAACCAGACTATCCAAGATCACAGTACTCTTAAATCAGTGGGAAAATATGATGCATATTCACTGCAGTTGGTCCCAAAACATAAGACTAGGATCTTGATTTTAAAAAATTCAAAGTTTGAGAAGTGTTTGGATCCAGGGATTTTTTTTTTCCATCTTAAGTATTCTCCCTTCAGTGTGCAAGAGGAAAAGGAAATTAAAATTGCATAAATAGGAATCTCTGGATTACATCAATGTAAATAAGAAATTGTTCCATTTAGTCAATGGAATTCCACTACTATTGATACATAAAATCAGAAACAAGACTATTTGACAAAGCAACAAGGAAGTTGGACCAATTCTTTTCCTGCTTAAATTTAACATAAATTCAAAGTAACTCCACTAAAATTAATAGTGTTACTCCCAATTTATACTAGTTTGACTGAAAACAGAATTTGATCCAGTGTTTCTAATTTATATAAAGCTATTATATGAAATGCCTTGAAAAAGGTTTTCATAATTTAGTTTAGCTGCAATTTGTAATAGCTTGATATTCCAAATTTTGTGTTTCATTCTGTATTTTATTGAACTAGATAGATATAAATATTCCAAATCATGTTCCCAAGTCAAAAGACTTTGGTGGTCTCATTATCATCACTACTGAAGGGTTTTTTTGTTTTTGTTTTTGTTTTTTTAATGATAAAATGTTCAAGATACATATGGAGGCTGGTATGGGGATATGGGTTGCTTTCACTTCTAGTTCACTAGTACACTTTAAACCGAAATTTGCAGTAACCAGAAGTTGCTACAGTAGTAGGCCTATGAAGAAGGAACTGATTATATCAGCAGACTGGGGTCCATGTTAAAAACAATAACGCCACAAGTGGGACCATTATTGGTAGTCTGAACATAAATGTCATGTATTTGAATAGACATGAAAACTGGACCCTCCAAATTGAGGATGGAGAAAATTGGTAGAATGAACACTGCAACAAGTCTAGAAATTTCACATTCACTACATTGACTTTAAAAAAAGACAAGACACTAGAGTTAAGGTAGGGATGGCTATTATTGCTTAGCATTTCAGTTACTACTACTGGATCTGCAACACCAGGCCATTTTCTCCAGAGCTAAGACACGCTGAACAAAGCGATGCGGAGAAATGCCAGCTATAGCACATAGCCAACTGTGATACTGTACGTTTTCAGCGTACCCTTTGTCAGTTGTCAGAAACACAGATATTCATAAACAAAGGAGGGAGGAGGAGACTAAAATTTCACTTTAGAATAAATGCTGTGGACATTGATATGGAATGTGCTAACAACATAGGAACCATTTAAGTAAATATGTGAAACAATCAGGGTGCATCTAGACTGGCAAGATTTTGCGCAAAAGCAGTCGCTTTTGCACAAAATCTTGCCGCCTGTCCACACTGGCCGCGAGTATTTGTGCAAAAACACTGACTTTGTACTGTACAAAATCAGTGGTTCTTGCGCAAATACTCCGATGCTCCCGCTCAGGGATAAGCCCTCTTGCGCAAGTATTCTTGTGCAAGAGGCCAATGTAGACAGCCAAATTAATTTCTTGTGCAAGAAAGCTTGATGGCGAAAATGGCCATCGGAGCTTTCTTGCTCAAGAGAGCATCTACACTGGCACTGATGCTTTTGTACAAAAGCAAATCTTTTGCGCAAAGGCACATGCCAGTATAGACGCTCTCTTGCGCAAATACTTTTAACGGAAAAACTTTTCCGTTAAAAGTATTTGCGCAATATCATGCCAGTATAGACGCAGCCCAATATTAACTGTGCTCTTTGTGCAATGACACCTTTATTACCAGTTTTTGTTTTTATCTTGATAAAGCCAGAGTCATATAACAGTTGAAACTGGCTTTCGTGACGGATATAGAAAATGTTGTGCATGACATTGGAAGCATGGTATCATGGAAACAAATTGAACAATAGCTGGGAAAATTATCTCAGTTCTTTCAGAGATAGCAGAATTCTTCCCCATACATGCAAATATGGACGTTTTCTCTATAATAAAATTACAGCTTTATTCTATAAGAGCGGGCTCTTAACACTGGTACAGAGCTGCTCTTTGATATTGTTTCCTGTAACATAACACAACCATTATGTAGTACTCTGTTTTACACCTATAATGCCTCTGTTTTCATGCTATGTATGACACAGGTGTGTATAGTCATTTTAGCCTTGTAATATTGTTCATGTGTCTGCTCTCTAAACTCTGAAGACCAGATTCCATGAACAGAGCACTTAAATGTTCACAGCATGAATTGCACATCTGCTCTGGCTCTGTTGATTCATGCAGTTTTACACATGGATCACAACATCCGGTTTGTTTTGCACATCACGTATGCCACTGTTAATGT